AGGGTTGTCCTGTTGCCCTAGCTGTCCTGGAACTCACTATGTAGACGAGGCCGGCTTTGAACTCACAGAGATCTGCCTGCCTCTGCCTCCCGAGTGCTGGGATTAAAGGCCGTGCGCCACCACACCTGGCTAAAAATGATAATTTAAAAACAAAACACTCATACACATAAAATTAAAAATGATAACTTTTTTTTTTGTCTTTTTGAGACAGGGTTGTCCTGTTGCCCTAGCTGTCCTGGAACTCACTATGTAGACGAGGCTGGCTTTGAACTCACAGAGATCTGCCTGCCTCTGCCTCCCGAGTGCTGGGATTAAAGGCCGTGCGCCACCACACCTGGCTAAAAATGATAATTTAAAAACAAAAGAAATGACTAAACCATGTTCTTGAATTGCAAACAATCACTGTTTCCAAGGAAAAGCAACATTTCAAAAAGTAAGATAAGTTGGGGCTGGAGAGATGGCTCAGTGGCTAAGAACACTGGTTGTTCTTGCAGAAGACCTGGGTTCGAATCCCAGCACCCACATGGCAGCTAACAACTATCCATAACTCCAGTCCCAGGGGATCCGACAGCCTCTTCTGAGCTCCGTGGGCATTGCACGACATGGGTACACTTACCTGCATGCAAGCAATACATGCATACACACAAAATAAAAATAATAAATAAAATATATATTTTTAAAAAGTAAGATAAGCTCTTCCCAGTACATGCATACTTGTACTGACATTCCAACCTTGCTGCATTTTATTGCTTTCCTGCATTGTATCAGTATCCTGGTTTATATTAATAATCATTTTAACTGAGCATACTTATGCAATCATTTGATATATGTAATATGTCATAATGAAATCAGAATAATTAGCATTATCTAGCTCTTTACACCACTAGTATGTAGAGCCATCAAGCTCCTCCGTCAGTATTTTGACTTGTCTTGTTGGTTGCTTTTTTGGTTCTGTGAGTGTTGATTTGATCCCTTCCCTGCAGTCTGTTGGCTTTTTGTTGTCACGGAGCTGGTAACTGTATGTAGATCACAGTGACTTCTTTTCAGATCTTGCTGATCAGATAGAAACCATCTTAGACAGAGAGCATGCTAATCACTTTAGGAATTCCAAGCCGAAAAGATTGGAACAGTACTAAGATGGCCTTTCCAGGAAGCTGGCGCAACCCCCAGGACATCAGCAACACAGATGGACGTTTCTGTAATCAGGCTGCAGCCTAGAACAATAGTTCTTGGAAATAGAACTATTTAGTTAAATAGTTAAACCATTTTGGGAGGTTGCATCAACCATTTTAGAAAGCCCTCTAAGGTCTCTGGGATACCATTTAGCAAATTAGTATCCCATTGGGCTGAATTAATTTTAGGAAATAACTTAAGCCCTAGGAAACTATGACTCATGGTCTATGTTGTCCCTACCACAGTAGACTTTAAACTCCAGACCTGTGCACCAAAGATTCCAAAAGGGTCCGTTTGCCTTTTCTTAATCATAAAATAAACAGTGCTGTTATTTCAGGCATGCTTTCCTGAAATTAAAGACAGGAAAACAGGAGGAAACTAAGACCTAGATTGCTCAAGATTTTATATCACAACAGCTCAGTCTCATGCTTCATGAAGTCTGACTTATGCAGGAGCTCCGTCCATAAAAGGCCAAATCCTGCTATATCATTTTCTTTTGAGTATGAGGCTGTTACTCAGAATTGCTCAAAATTACTCAGAACGGCCTGCTGTGATGATTCTATGAAATCTTCCATTCTTCCTTGTGAAGGTGTTAGTATTAGAGATATATATATCCTTCCTTCCTCTGAGCCAAGCAAACATCCTTGATTTGATACATTTGATACATATATATGATCAAAAGAAAGGGGTTATCCAAAACTGATGAAGAGCATCAAAGTGTTTTCAGTCACCCTCAATGATTTATACAATAGGGTCACTGTTTGTTTTTATTTTATTTTTTTGGAAATGACTAAGTAGAAATTGTCGTTTGAGATGGGTGGCTTGGACTAAATTACTGTTTGCCCTAGAAATCAGCAAGTCAATAATTACAAATACAGTTTTGTTGACACCTCAAGTAACACCATGTTGACAGACGGTACTCCATACAGGTTGGAACATTTGTGTGGACATGTGTCCCAAGTTTACATGTCATGAAACCAAGTGGGAATCTTAGAGGTTCTATTAGGCTCAGGTCAGTAGGAGATTATTTCCAAAATTCTACATACAAACATCTGTTCAGACTTTGCAAGCATATACTTTTATTTCAAATAGTAAGATGTACCTTAATTTGAAAAACCTTCATTTGAAAAAGAGTAAACTAAAAACAGATCATGGAATTTTCCCTTGAACACTGTTAATGTGTAATGGGCCATTGAATATATTTCACCCAAGCTGTACCCAGCTTGCCTTTTGGAATTGTGTTTTACATTGATCTGAACAGTGCCGGATGGAATCTTTTCCTTAAAGATTGAATAGGGCTTCTTGACAAGAACCAAAAGAATGCAAAGGGTAGAACCTGATTTTATAGGGGCTGGCAAATAACAGTCATAGGCTCTGACTGGTCCACTACCTTTGTGTAAAGAAATTGATATTGAAAAACAGCCATACAGGAGTCTTTGTGACTATTTGTTTTCATGCTAGGACAGCAGATGCAAGTAGTTTTGGCATAGACAATTTTCACCATTTTGACCTTTACTAAAAAAAAAAAAAAAAAAAAAAGCCTTCTGAACCTGCCTTTGTGAGCTGAAAATAGTTCCTATAAAATACTAAAGCATGGTGTTAGTAGTTTATATTATGTATACAACCTGACATAGTATCTCATAGAAATAGCATTTTGTTCTCTGGTCCCCTGAAATTAATGACTGGAATGTGAAGATAAGTGAATTACTATCAACAGCAGTTTTTCTCTCTGCATTCCAGAAATACAACAATGATTGGTGGATAGGAAGACTGGTAAAAGAAGGCTGTGAGATTGGCTTCATCCCAAGTCCGCTGCGGTTGGAGAACATACGGATTCAGCAAGAGCAGAAAAGAGGGCGTTTTCACGGGGGGTAATGTCCCATCTTCTCCATGAGCTAGCAAAATTCCCTCCCTCCCTCCCTCCCTCTCTTCCTTCTCTCCTCCTTCCTTCTCTTTTGGTAGGAAGATTGGGGTTATTTTCAAGTTTCTTACTCAGTTAATAACATCTGCTTTTAAGGTAAAAGGACGCTTCTGTGTATGGGCTATTTCTGATGATGACACAAGGGTTTCAGGTTTTAACTACTTCCATTGTTCCTGAACCCCAGCACCCTGGAAATTCTGTAGTGGAAGCTGCTTCCTTCGGGCTCAGTAAACCCACCTGGGAGCCCTGTTTTTTTTTCTCAGAATCACAAAGGGCCTCGTTTCTTAGAGCAGCTCAGATGGAAGCTGGCATGACTGAGAGTGGTGGCTTTTCTTGGTTCCCTGTTAAAGACTCTGCAACCAGTGGGTGCGGAATGTGATGGTGTGTGGACAGTCCCAGGAACACCTTCTTCCCCTGGGCTTCTTGTAGCATCTTCTTCTGCTGGAACTGGCCTGAAGATGCTGGATGGCTCAGATGGACAAAGGAAGCAACATATAGACCTCAGAGTGCTGGTGGTGAAGTCTGAGGCATGTGAGCAGAACTTGAGAGAAGTCATAACCACATTTCATGTGTTAGATTTTTTTTGAAAGCCTTCAAATAAAAGCAAATTTTAAAATTAATTCTTTTAGAGTTTCATATAATGTATTTAGGTCATATTTTCTCTTCCCCCCAGCTCCTCCCAGATCGACCCCTACCTCCCTACCCACCCATCTTTGTGTTCTTTTTTTTTTTTTTAACCCATGACTCCAGTACTCCAGTTTGTGTTGCCCAAATACTCTTTTTTTTTTTTTTTTTTTTTTTTTTTTTTTTTTTTTTTTGAACTTTTTTTTGTCTTTTTGAGACAGTGTCTCCCTGTAGCCCCAGCTGGCCTGGAACTCGCTATGTAGACCAGGCTGGCCTCAAAGTCACAGAGATCCCTTCCTCTGCCTCACAAGTGCTGGGATCAAAGGTGTGCACCACCACACCTCACTGTTGTCCAAATACTCTTGATAGTGAACCAGCCCTTAAAGAAAATGGACCGTGGGACTGGAGAGATGGCTCAGCCGTTAAGAGCACTGACTGCTCTTGTGGAGGACTCAGATTTGATTTCCAGCACCCAAATGGCGGCTATGAACTGGCTTAACTCCAGTTCCAGGGGAAATCCGACACCCTCTTCTGACCTCTGCGGCATTGCAGCACAACATGGGTGCACTCACACACATGCAGGCAATGTACTCAAACACATAGAATAAAAATATTAAATAATATATATTTTTTAAAATGGACCCTTCCTCTATCAGCAGCTAGCACATGCCAACAGCTCCTAAATCAGGGGTGGGACTTCGTGCCCACTTCCCTCTCCATGCTGGCTTGAGCTTGGGCAGGTCTTGTTCATGCTGTCACAATTGCTGTGAGTTCATATGTGTCACTGCCCTGCTGCATGGAAAAAACTATTTCCTGTAGTCACTCACCATCTTTGGCTCTTACAATCTTCCTGCCCCCTCTTCCATGAATATCCCTGAGCCCTGTGGGCAGGGGTGTGATATCAAAACAAGTTTTGTTTCTGTTGTTAGGAGACAGCTTCACTGGGTAGTCCAGACTGACCTGCACTGGGGTGGTTTTTCTCATCTCTGCTCCCTGGTGCTGGGTTACAACTGTGCTTCACCACGCCTGACTGAAGTAGTTCTTCCTTTTAACTCAGCTTATGTATTCAGTTGGATTCTTTTCTTATTTCAAAAACAATTGGATTCTTTAAGTTTCTTTTTGATTTTGTCCCAATGAGAACTTTTTCAATAGTAATATAAGATCATAGAAGTACAGTTAACCCCACTTCCAATTATCAGTCTTCTGTTAAACTGTTTTATTAATCTTATGGTTTCCTTTGTTCTAGACCTCCCATCTTCCATGCTTCTCCTTGAGCAGACCAGGTGCCTATGGTCTGTGCCGCTTCCTCTTGCTGGAATTCTTCTTACTCCTTTGCATTTTCACTAGACAAGTTCATTAAGTCTTCATTGAATAGCAGCTTTCCCATGACTCATTTCTTCACCATATTTCAAGTTGTACCCACTCTCCTCCTTGTACTTCCCATCTCTTTCCAATCTTAGTTTTCTCTATCACACTTATTTTCAGAACTATTGTGTATTGATTTCTTTTGTTTAGCTCTGATCATCTCATACCAGACAATCTCCTGCTGCCACCATTATAATCCCAGTTTCTAGAACTGAGGCATGGAATCAGTACTTGATGGTAGGATAATACATGGATTATTTTTACCACTTCAAAGATTTTTGCTACTATTATTAATACTCACTACATTTTATATTTAAACTAAAAGTTTGCTTTGGGGAAAGGCCACCAATAAAGCCCTGAGCTTTCCCACAGGGTCTCATGCATCATTTTGTCTCCCTGTGAGGTATAGGTAACTCCAATGTCTATAGTTAGGCAAGACAGGGCTCAAAGATATATCACAGTAGGTCCCACAACTAGAAAGTAGCAGAACTTGCTGGGATGTAAACCTAAGTGAATTTCTATTGATAGCAATTACTGTTGGCAGCTGTAAGAGCTCATGGGAATAGATCTTCCTCATCTTCCTCATGGCAGGGGTTTTGCTTTTAACCGCTGAAAGGGAGACACTAGAGTGTGAGGAGAAGGAAGGTCCTTCTGAGGATCTCTGTAGGCCCACAGAAACTTCCAAAGCATGCACAAAGAGACCATACTGATAAACTTGCATTTCAGGTCATATGTAAGATCACCTGTGACTAACTCCTTACTGCTAATTCTCAGATCTGACCTACTTACCTCCAGGCCACTTCTAAGAAGAAATAGTTCTCCCAGACTTCTTGCTCATTTCTAACTGTTTGACCTGACTGGTGTTTTGGTGACTGGTGTTAGATGAGCAAGCAGTTCAAAAGAAGTTCCCTGACAGAGATTCTTTTGCCTATTTTTTTACATGAGTAACAGGGAGAGATAATTTGCAAAGTATTTCCAGCTTCCCCCCTAGTTCTCCACTTTCTCTGAGAAATGAGTTTGGAGAAAGCATTTCAACAGATTCTTATAGTTTTTCTAACAGGATTTGGTGTGTTTTGAATTGTTTAATAGAATGAAAGCTTTGTATTCTTGACCCCTGTTTCCAAAGACTCTGGGGAGTAAGTCTTAAGTTCCTTTCTGTGTCCTAGGAAATCAAGTGGAAATTCTTCCTCAAGTCTTGGAGAAATGGTGTCAGGGACATTTCGAGCAACTCCCACATCTACAGGTGAGGAGTTCAGCTGCATTCTTGTTAGTAGACTATATTCCTTTTAAAATATTGAACCACAGATACAAATATTTTTATTGATTTGGAAATAAGGACTTGTTTATCTTTAAGATTTTGTGTTCACTTCTATGCTGTTTCATTTGATTTGAAGAGTACTAATGATATAAAAATTCAGGTCATCAGTATAATTTTGAAAATCTTATTTACCACCACCAACAGCCAGTAACCCTCCATTGTATAAACCAATTTCATTCATTATTCTACCCCAAAACTCGGGAGACTTTAAGACAGTGAAGCCAATAGAATAAAAATTTGGTGTAGTAGTCTAAGGGAGTGGATTTGGAGATAAAAAATTGTGGACTATGAAAACAATGTTCTACTTAGCATGTGAAACTTTAGCATGTGTTGGACTGGGCTGTGGCTACTGGGAGGGTTGTAGCATAGCTAGGGCCAGATGACCTTGTTTTTATGTTTGGACAGCAGGGAGCTGAGCCCTGAATTAACACAATGAAGAGACAGGTAGCTCAGTACACTCTCTGTGTCTCTGGGAATTATGAGGATATTCACTTAGGAAGTTTTCTTCCCCTACATTCTCTGCTTCCTGTAAACTAAGTTCATTCTGGCCAGAAACTGAGGGTGTGTCGCTGTATCGGCATCACCAACTCAGATGCCAGGCCAACGCTCTACAATACATGTCAAAGCTGGATTGGTTGAATCCTTTCTGAGCTCCAGGACTGGGAACCAACCTGTTCCTGTAGGTACCCCCCATGTAGACAGGGCCTGCTGTGTGGAAGGCAGCAGAGCCTCACTTATCAGATGTGGAGTAGATTCTGCTTCCTTCATGTTTGCTGAATGTCTGTCCACTGCAGCTTTTCTCTCTCACCACCTGGAAAGCCAGGGACAACTGCCTGCCAAAAATTTAAGAGCAGAAGCATAGTTGAAATAAAAGTATCAGTATTCAGAAAATAAGCAAAAATGCCCAGGGGCCTGAAAAATTATCTCTTGTTTCATCAAAGTCACAAATGAGAGAGAGAGAGAGAGAGAGAGAGAGAGAGAGAGAGAGAGAGGAGAGAGGCAGGCTAAGGTGGTAGTCATTTTACTTAAATTGTATTCTGTTTCTTTTTATTATGCTTTGTTTGTTCCATGTGTCCTCAGCTGCACTGTGTATACCAGGTCCAGCATGGGCACAGCCCATGGTTAATGATTAGCTTAAAAACTTCCAGTCTTGTTATGAGTGCCTGTTCCTGGCCTCCAATGGGAAATCAGCATGTAAAGTCATTTATTTAGGAAGGAAGTTGTCTGTGTTTCATGTTTTCAAAAGTAGCATTCCAGAATTGAAATGGCAGAGCAGCGCCCTACAGAGCAGGTCCCAGGACAGTTACAGGGATGTTAGTTACTGGGTATACTCTTCCATCTTATGAACACATGTGCTATCATTTACAGAGATTACATATTTTGATACGGTTCTCGTTGTTGTCTTTTAGCAAAACAGAAGCAAAAAGTGGTAAGTTGTGTTTCCTTTCTAAACTCCTGTTAAGGTTCCTATACGTATGTGCCTGCAACACTCCATTTCAGTGATCCACATTGCTATAACTAAGGGATGGGTCTCCTTGGTGGGGACCCTTGGTAACCACTTACTGTTCAACCTGAGAAGTCTGGATGTTGTGGCTATCCAGGAAATAGACCCAGCCTCACTTTGTCATCCATGTTGAATCATCTTTTTCAGACGGAGCACATTCCTCCTTATGATGTTGTGCCATCAATGCGTCCAGTGGTGTTAGTGGGGCCGTCACTAAAAGGTTATGAGGTACAAATATCTGTTTCTTCTCTTCTTGACCAGGATTCCAGTAGATTATCCTCTGGGCTCTGGCTCCTCCAGGGTCTGTATACAGATAGGAGCTGATGGAAGGCAGTTATCAGTACATGTAGGCAGGTGGTGGGGAAGAAACCAATAAAAACATTAATAAATCCTGGAGTTCAATTAAACATTACCATGTAAAAAGGAAGAGTAAAAACTTGGGTGCATGACATTTCAGATTTGGCCATTTTGGCTTTGTGTTTGCATGGGTAAAGTAGGTGGGATATGAGATTTAAATCTGAAGACAGATGACTTCTAGGCCACCAGTCCAGCTAAAACACTGCCTTGTACATAGTAGGCATTTAGTCACTTGCTGAATGAGTGAATGACTTTCTTGAGGGAGATCTAAGACTCACATAGCTCTGTCTCTCTCTGAGTTAGAAATGTCAGGGGATAAGCAGGAAAATTATCTACAAAAAAATTAAGTGCCTGACAGGGAGAATGCCCAACACGCACAGATTGGCAGGACAGCTGAGCCTAGGGCTTGTTTTAGGGCCACCCTACATTCCTCACTAAAGGCAAGCACAACTCAGCCCGCAGAGGATGGCCAGCACCTCTGTGCAAAACCAGCCTATAGTCCCACGAAGGCAGATCTAGCTCCTAAGGGAAGAGGGAGGCAGGTTGGCTTTTGGTGTGGTAAACACTGTTGTTCCATTCCTCAGGAGGAGAACCAAAGGAGAAAAGTTAGCAACTGCATTTGATTAGCATGAAAACAACCTCTGGGACCCTCTACAATTCACTCCTGGAGATGTCTAGATGTGATGAGGTCTCTCTCAATCACAGTGCTCTGCTCTTCCATGACTCTCAAATTTGACCTCTCTCTCTCTCTCTCTCTCTCTCTCTCTCTCTCTCTCTCTCTCCATGTGCTTGCCTCATTCTTTTTTTCTCACTTCTTCAAAGGTAACAGACATGATGCAGAAAGCACTCTTTGATTTCCTGAAGCACAGGTTTGATGGGAGGTGAGACATATAAATGTTTTCGTATTTTTCTTTTTCTTTAACTGAACACGTATGTTAATTCAGTTTGTGGATCTGTTTCCAGTTATTGCAGACGTTCTGCACTTGAAGTGAACTCAGTGTTCTAGGGATATGTACAATGAAAGAGCTGTGAAAAAGAGAAGCATGGCATGAGATCTCAAGGACAATAGGGCCTTGAAAGGGAAATTAATCCATCTGTTGGCTAGAATGCATGTTTCTCTTCACTTCTTCACTCAGTGAATCATAATAACTGTATTAGTCACTTTTCTGTTGCTGTGATAGAAACATGACCAAGGGAACTTATAAAAGGAGGAGTTTATTTAGTTTACGGTTCCAAAGGGGCAAGAGACCATCATGGTGGGGAGGCATGGCAGCAGAGGTGGCTGGAGGAGAAACAGAAGCTAAGCGCTCCCATCTTCAGACAGGCACGGGAAGCAGAGCAGAGACTGGAGATCTGGCTTAAGAATTCTCTAAGCCCACCCCCAGTGACATGTTTTCTCCAGCGTTGTCACACCTTCTAAGACCTCCTAAAACAGCACCACCAACTGGGGACAAAATGTCCAAATACTTGGAGCCTATGGGGGACAGTCTTATTCAAACCACCACAATAACAAACTTGCTTTCATGAAAGAATTAGTTAAGTGTATATTTCTGATGAAAATATGGCTCACTGGTCATGCTGGGTAACATTGTGCATGTATGTACATGCATGCATGTATGGGTGTGATTTGAAGGTGTTAAGTACTTTGTAAGAATGAAAAGCTAGAAACAACTTTTCATAAATAAATAAAGTACTCAATTTCCTTAAAAGAATACTATATTGTTTTTTGCCGTAGACTTCCAAAGTGACTACTATAAAAAATAGTACTTATTTGGATGTTTAGCTCCGGGTTCATTTTCTTAGAAGTGACCTTATTTTTGTTTTGTTTTGTTTTTGGTTTTTGGTGTTTTTTAATAGATGTTTTGTATGTATCCTATTGGAAGGCATAGTCAATATGGCTGAGCCTTCAAATAACTTTATACTTATTTTTTTTGTGGAAAATACCTCAAGATTTTAGGTTTTCTGGAGAAGTGACAAGAGTCTACATGACACAATAATGGTCTCCCACATGTACACTCTTGCCCATGTAAAATGAGAACATGTTCTCCCACATGCAGAGTGTTCCCCATGTAGAGTGGGAACACAGTCTCCCACATGCAGAGTGTTCTCCGTGTGGAGTGGGAAGATGCTCTCCCACATGCAGAGTGTTCTCCGTGTGGAGTGGGAACACGCTCTCCCACGTGCAGAGTGTTCTCCGTGTGGAGTGGGAACACGCTCTCCCACGTGCAGAGTGTTCTCCGTGTGGAGTGGGAACACGCTCTCCCACGTGCAGAGTGTTCTCCGTGTGGAGTGGGAACACGCTCTCCCACGTGCAGAGTGTTCTCCGTGTTGAGTGGGAACACGCTCTCCCACGTGCAGAGTGTTCTCCGTGTGGAGTGGGAACACGCTCTCCCACATGCAGAGTGTTCTCCGTGTGGAGTGGGAACATGCTCTCCCACATGCAGAGTGTTCTTCATGTAAGAACAACTGCAAGAAAAAAACCCTGAAGATTCATCAGAAATGAACTTAAAGAGTACATATTGAGAAATCTAAGTAATGTTTCCAATGTATCATTTTAAATGGAATAATTCATTTTTAGAATGTTTAAATATGTTTAAATATATTTTAGATGTTAATAAATATTTCATTTTAAGAAAAAGCAAATATGATCATGCTTTAAGTATAAATCATATATATAATTTAAATATAAATATATATATATAATTCGTCATATATACATATTTATAATTTACCTAAAGAAGTCTTCTAGATAGTCATGTGGAAATAATCATTAGTTTCTAGGACTAGATACAGTGAAAACAAGCTGAGGAAGTAGAGAAATGGCTCAGTGGGTAAGAGTGCTTGCTGTAAAAGCATGCAGACCTGAGTTCAAATACCCAACACTCACATAAAAAGCTGGTCGTGCAAGTGTCTTGAATCACAGTGCTATGTGGGACGGGGATGAGAGGATCCCTAGGGCTTGCTGACACCGAGTTCAGTGAGAGATCCTGTCTCAAAAGACTCAGGCAGAGAATGTTCGAACCAGACACCCAACATCCTCCTGTGACATGGGCACCTATACACAACACCCCCCAAAACCCCACCAAACACACAAACACACATGACAGAAGCTGAGGTTTTAGTTCCAACAGTTGAGAACTTCATTCAAGAAACAGGCTTCTTTGCCATTAAATGAGTTTCAAAGTCCATGAATAAATGCAGGCCAGGTCATCTTAATAAACAGACCCCTCCAGCCCCCTAGCACATAATGATTTAAATACAATGGAAGCTTACAGTTGCTCACTTAACAGACTGAGACAGGGATTTCATCTGGGAAGAACAGCAAGGTAAGTGACGGGAATTTGGGGCAGAAACTTTGCTAAACCTGTCATTTTGGATTCTTGGCCTTTGGCCGAGCTCTCCAGCTAAGCAAGGACAGCAGCAGCCAGGGCCTGGAAATAGTGCACATCGCTTCTCTTTTCATTGGCTAGATCTTGGCCTTGTGGTCATAATCAAGCTGCAAAGGAGTTTGGCAAGTCCTCAGATAAAGAAAGACTGTCTCTGCCACAGTCATCTAAGCCATGTACTGGAAACAAAGGGTTTGATAAGAAGACTCTGGCTATTCTCTTCTCCTTCTCAGAGAAGACAGGCAGAAAATAAAGTCAAATGAAAGAAACAAAAGAAAAAGCACTGAGTACTAGATTGGTAAAGGAAACATGAAGTTCTTTAATTCTAAGCTCTCTGCTTCAATACCCACAATCTATCTGACTATGAAAGATTCTTGCTACTAGGAACTCACTTTCTAGAAATGTATTTTTAAAAAACCCAGCTAAACTTTGACTCTAACTTAGTAGTAGTGGCTTTTGGTCCTGCCCTATACTGTTCTGCGCCATAACTGTGACCCTCATATGTGTCTCCGCGGATTGAAGGCAGCCAACATGAGTGGCCCAGTCTGCTGCTCTGGATAGCGCTTGCAAAGTTCCTTCAGTTCTGTGCCGACTCACTTCATTTTAACCTGGGCTACCTTCACTGAAGGCTGTCCTGAGCAGTGCTCCAGCCTCAAACTCCATCACAGCCCTTGATCTGAACAAATCCCATCCCATAACAGCTACATTTGTGTCAAATTGTTTTGGTCCTACATAACATTCCTATAAACAACATTATTAAAGAATGAATGGTAGCACTGATGAAAAAGAAGAAAAGATTTCAGATTATTTAGTAAAGAGAAAGTTGAGTGACTTAATTACTGGCTTCAGGAATGAAGACTCTGGTTATTGTCTTCAAGCTGGAGGCCCAGAAAGAAGAAATGTATTTAGTTGTAGCAAAGATATCTTAAATCAAGTAGAATTACCTGCATGAATCACTACATCCATGCTATTAAAGTTCCTTTTAATAAAATTAAATTTTCGGTGCCAAGTTTTCATGGGGTCTGATGATGGCAGAGAATCTGGGGATAGAAACACAATAACAGTTCAAGTGACAGCTGGAGACAGAGGTGGTCCTGGAAAGACTGGCAGTCAAGACAAGAGAGAGAGAGAGAGCATGCTTTCAGATAATAAGAGGGTAGCTCCACAGAAGAACTCGGTGAGTTCATTAGTGAGAGGACAGTTAAGAGAAGGTTAAGAAATTGGCTGGTAGCTTCTCGCTGACACATGGCTTCTGTGTGGGGAATATTCTGTTTTGAGCTGTGACAATCTGCTGCATTGTGTTTTCCAATTAATAAAAGAAGGGAAAACAACACATCATCTTTAATTGAAACCAGCCAAGATTACAGTTACATGGAGGACTTTGGCACAGTGGTAGAGATTACACAATATGTTTTGATGGAAGCCTGGTCAGTGTTTCATTGGCTGTGAATGCAGTATGGAGACAACATAGTCAGGAGAAAGTCCTGTGTTGTTTAGAAAGAGCAAGTAAGGAATCCATTACCTAAGAGCTTTCTTGAATACTGCTTTTTGGATCTTAGGAATTAATTCAGTGAAGTAGACCAAAACCTACCTGCTTGACTGTACAGAAGCATAAGCTTGGATGGCTTTCTTTTTGACACTTTAGAAATTATTTGAGCTACTTTTGACGTACTTTTCATTCAGTTTGACTCTTGTGGTTGCTGTTGCAGGGGTCTGACTGTAGCACATGTAAGAAAAATGTAAAGTGCAATACTGAGTAGCTCCTGTGGGCCTGTTGCACATATAAATGTTCACATCAGGGTTGATTCCTGTATGTAGATGGAGCGAGCCTGACCATCTGTTACAATCTGCTACAGTGGCACTCAGCCTGCAGGGGACACAGCAGGTGCACAATGGGCACCGAGCAACTCCATTTTTCATACTACTAAGATTTACTGGGAGTCGTCCTTTCCAATCAAGGGTGTTCAGCTGGTCAATCTACCGCTGTTGGGCTAAACAGCAGTCTAGGCAGTTCCAGTTTGCTGACTTAGGCTGTTTGTTTAAAATCCCCCCAAAATTGTTACTCTAGGATTACTCTTGGATTTTTTTTAAATAGCTGGAGAGATGGCTCAGTGATTAAGAGCACTTACTGCTCTTGCAAAGAACCTGGGTTCAGTTCCCAGCATCCACAGGTGGCTCATAACTGTCTATAATTCCAGTTCCAGGGGTTCTGATGTCCATTTCTAGCATCTGGTGGCACTGTGTGCACATGGTACACATACATAAACGCAAGCGAAACATGCAGACACATAAAATAAAAATAAATAAAATTTTTAAAATTTTAATCTGTTTTTATTAGCATATATTCACTGTATGTCGTTCTGGGTTTCGTAAAGATAATGCTTTGGGTTTTTGACAGCTGGATCAGATCAGCTCCACAGCATCGTACCATGTCCTAAAATCCTAAATGAATACTGTGAAACCTCAGAAATAGGATCCTAAAGTAAAAGACGCTGTTACCAAAGAACATGTAATCTAAACAAAGAAAAATAAAGTTGAGGGTGAAAAAGAATTTGAAAGAGAAGCCAAGAATACAACTTCAGGAGCTACTAAAACATAGTTCAGTATTTGTTTGTGAAGAGAAACAGTCAGTTTCCGATCTGCAGGTGCAGTTAGCAAATGTAGTCTTCGCAGCAGCTCCTGTTTCACAGCCAATATTGCTGTTCCTCTCAGCTCTTCCTGCCATTCCCTGTCCAAGTGTGGCTCCTTAGTAGAGCCTCAAACGCTAGGGATAACTGAATACTTTTGTACTAGACTTGAAAGTTCACATTAATAGCTTTTGGTTACATCATGTTTGGCTGCATCCCCCCACATTCTCAGTATATCTGAGTTTCAGAACTGCTAACTTCTGACAGGATAAGAGGAAACTGTTCTCTTCACGTCCTTTGGATTGCCACTGTTTCTTGTCTTGTATTTATATACATGCCTGTCAACATAGAAAGTAATTTTATATATTACCTTCTTTGCACTTAATGACAGTTCTCTGTGATACCTATGACAAATCTGTGTCACCATTTTATTAATTAGGATATGGAGGCTCAAAAGATGCCATGATTTGTCCTTGATCATGAAACCACGGAAAGGAAGATGGAGGGGAGCCTCAGGTCTTTCTGTGCCTTCCTCCCTGCTCGACTGGCAATGACTGTTATCTATTCTTTGGAACAGTTTTCCCTGTGAGCACTAGGAATTTTAATATTTTATTTATTATTATCCTTTTCATTTTATGTATAGGTGTATTGCCTGCGTGTATGTAAATGCACTCATGTCATGCAGTGCCCATGGAGGTCAGAAGAGGGCCTTAGATCCCTTGGAACTGGAGCTACGGACAGTCGTTGGCCACCATGTGGGTGCTGGGACTTGAACCCGAATCTTCAGAAAGAGCAGCTGGTGCTCTTAACCACTGAGCCATGTCTCCAGCCCTGAGCACTAGAAATTTAAAAATATATATTATGCTGAATGGGCTACTTATTAAATGTACCGGGACCAGAGAAAGATTTTACAGCTGTCACATTAGCAACCTGGAAATACTAATTATTTTTGAATGAATGTATCATAACTGAAATAAATATCTCTCCATAGAAAATCCACAGAAGGGCCAGTGAGCTGACTCAGCAGGGTGCTTGCTGTCAAACCTAATGGCCTATGTTCTGTCACTGGTGCCCATATGGTGTAAGGAGAGAACTGACTCTGCCAACTTGTTCTCTGACCTCCATAAGCACACAGTGGCACATGTGTGCCCACTCCTACATACATATAAATAAATAAAAATGTTTAAAAAATGTTTAAAGAAAATCTACAGAAAACTAAGACTTACAGCCTATGATGGATTACATCAATTAAGATGAATTCTGTATGGGGATGGAGAGATGGCTCAGTGGTTAAGAGCACTGGCTTCTCTTGGAGAAGACCCAGGTTTGAATCCCAGCACCCACATAGCCGCTGACAACTCCTCATAACTCCAGTTCCAAGGAATCAGATGCCCTCTTCTGTCCTCCCTGGGCATTGTGCTACACGGGTGCACTGACCTGCATGCAAGCATAACATTCATACACATAAAATAACAATTAAATTTTAAAAAGGCGAATTCCATAGTAGAAACAAGCAACAGCTAGAGTGCAGATTTGCGGGATTTAGTGAGTGATCTTTGCTAGTTTCCAGGGCCATTTGATACTATGTCCAGTCTGCTGGGGAACAGAACTCTTATCGCCTGGTAACTACTAATGCTCTCTCAGTGAGGCTGCCAAGTAACACTTTGGAGAAGCATATCTTGAAGATGCAAGAGAGTGTCAAAGACCAGGCTGGTGAGGAAGGGAGGAAGAGGAGTAGAAGGGGTACTATAAGTTTAAAATAAATGTGAATTAAGAAGCACTGGATGGTGAATGTAACTATTTTGCTAAGGAGACTTTTATCAAAAAGAAAAGAATTTGGGGTTTGGTGGCTGATTTTGGTAATAATAAGCTTCATTGCAAGAGAAATTCCCTTTTCTTACTGATGAGTTTCTAGAACTCTAACTTTCCCTGAACTGCATGCATGTGTGTTTTTATTAACAAATAACATGTATTATCAACTGAGTTTATTTTTATTAGAAAGTAAAAAGAGCATTTTATTGTTCACTTTTCCTCTGTTTTTAACATTCAAAGCAACCTTTTCTATATATGTGCTTCAAAATGTCTTTGTAAAAGTGCTTTTTATAACTCAGATGGGAAAAAAGAAAACAAGAATATACATTTGTTGATAATTCCTTCAAAGTTTAAGAATCAGGAGTCACAGGCCCGGGTGTGGTGGCTCACACCTTTAATCCCAGCACTTGGGAGGCAGAGACGGGCAGATCTCTATGAGTTCAAGGCCAGCCCAGTCTACATAGTGAGTTCCAGGCCAGCTGGGGCTACAGGGAGATTCTGTCTCAAAAAGAAGACTCAGGAGTCACTATTTGGCTTGTGTAGAGCTAGAAAATTTAGGCAAACTAAAAATCATTGTTCTAGAAGTTGAATTGTGTTTTAAATCTGCCCACTGGTCTCTACTTGGATTGTTCTAGAATATGGCACTAGGTTTTTATCCAGCTGCTCCACTTTTATTAAACAAACAAGAAACCCAAAGGATAGCATTATACATGAGACCCTGATCTGCAAGGAAGGCAGGACTGCCTGGAAGAAATTGCATCCCTAGAAGTTACTGTGAGCTAAGCATGACTGGACTCAAGCCTGCGATACCAGCACTTGGGAGGCTGAAGCAGAAGGATTATTGTCAAGTTAGAGGCCAATCTGGGCTACCTAATGAGTTTAAGAGTCTCAAAGAAAATACAAAACAAAAACAATAGAAAAAAAAGCTATTGTGCAAACTCAGATTTGGGTTCGCTTAATTTTAACCTCATCACCAATTTTAAGTCCTCATCACCTCTCACAGCAGGACCAGATAGTAAGCCTGCATTTGGTGGCTTGGCTCATCTTGGAGATTTAGGGTTACTGGAAAAGAAAACTGAACTCAAAGGTTCAGTGAGTCTCAGTGAGGCAACTGAGACTTGTTCTATGCTCAAGGCCAAGTCTAGACCTTCTTAGCCTGCAGGGAACCAATGGATTTTTCTCTCTGTCTCAGTTTTCTTCTTGGTAAAAAGTAGTTGTTACACCAATGTTTTCTGAATGCTCAACTAGCACTCTTCCCCCATCCCTCCTTTCCTCCCTCCGTCCCTCCTTTCTTTCCTTCCCCTTCCAATGAAATCATGTAAAAGCCCCATGTAGAAAACAGAAATGGAGTATTTGCCTGGTAAGGATGGTGAGCCGGAGCCCCATCAGCTCATTTTCCCATTAGTGTTCAAAATAGTCTCTGAGGAATTTCCATACAGCTTTACTTCCGCACAGGATGATTTAAGGTGCAACAGATAATTATCAGGGCATAAAAAATTTTAAGTTAAAAAATTGCAATAGTCTAAGCACCTGTAGCATATAAATGCAGTAATACAGGCAAACAGCACTTGGCTTTAAAATGTCACTAGAACTTTCATTCATTCATCCTGTTGCTTTAAAGATGTGACTTCTGAGCTGGGCACAGTGGTGCATACTTATAATCCCAGCACTATGGAGACTGATACAGGAGGATTATGGGCTCAAAGCTATCATAATCATCACGATCTAGCTACATAGTAAGACCATGTCTCAATCAAATAAAATGAACAAAGTTGGTTTCCAAGCATTTGTGAAAAGAACTATTTTAAGTTCTCCCCCAAGGCTTCCAGGCACCAAAGTCAGGTAAAGAGTCTCTGAACAGTATTGAAAATGTCCCACACACATGAGAGGAGAGGAGATGTGATTCAGTAAACCATTTCTTCTTCCCTGTTTTAATCCCCAAAGGGGTTTGTAATCAGAGGAGGATGAGTCTGTTCTGAGGATAAAAGGGAAGTGATGTGCTGCATTCCAGGTCTGCTTTCTGAACTCAGCCAAGCTGTAAAGGTGAGGGTAGGGAAGGCCCAGGATCACCATCACTGGCCTAGAGAGACCAGCTTTGAATTCTATAGATAGATAGTAGCTGGGAGCTGAGTACTCTCAGCTAAAATAAAGTTTTAAACTTTTAAGCTCCACATGTTTTCATTTGGTAATGCATATTCAAATTGGGCCCTCTCCCCATACAGTGTCTTTGATTTAGTCTTCCATGACTGCAAGACCTGTTCTAACTTAGCAAAGCTCTAGTATAATCCTCATATTGACTTCAATTATACTGTATTATAACTGCCCACCAGAAGAATTCAAAGTCATGTGCAAATTTGTAGAAGATCCTATGCCTGAAGAAAAGAAACCATATTTTTCACATCCTTACCAGTGAAGCCTCCTTTTGGACCTGTAGATAAATGCTTAGTGTATCAGGAATTAACTGCTGAGCCCAAGAAATGCAACTTGGGCACCAACTGGTTGACTGTCATTGATGATCAAATACAGAAGCTTTCCCCTTTGTCCAGCAGCATTGAAATGCTGGGTTGGAGCAGTTGTAGTTCCTGAAGATCTTATTCCAAGAGCAAATCAACTGTGAATTGTGAGAAAATTGTACTCTGTTTCCTAGAAAGAGCATGGTTAATTCATGTTTTGATTCTCTCCTGGTGTGGTGTGTGGTATGAAGGGATCTTGGCCAGGCAGGCTGGAATGGAAGGAGAGCATTTTTGCTAGAATTATTTTCAGTTAAAGAGCCAAAGCCTGCCTCCATTTGCTCTGCTTGTGTTTTAATATTAGCCAGAACCTGTTTAAAATACTTGTGGCCAGTGTTTACTATCTTGTGGTTCCACTATAGTATGTAAAGTGGTTATTAAGTACTTCGGTTATAAGTCATTTAGAGAGCTCCGTAACATTTTAACTGGCTTGTTCTGTTCTGTGTTCCTATTCCTAGGATATCAATAACAAGAGTGACAGCTGATATTTCTCTTGCTAAGAGGTCTGTCCTGAACAATCCTAGCAAGCGAGCAATAATTGAGCGTTCAAACACCAGATCCAGCTTGGGTAAGATGTTCAGATGTGGTACTTCTCCAAGCTGTACTTCTAGATAGACATGACACATGGTGTGCTGATGAATGTCTTGTCCACTTTGGTTCCTATTTTGCATGAAGAAGTGCTGAGTATCTGTAGAGAAAGCCAATGGTTGGGCAGGCAGGGAGCAGTCTTACAGCAGCCAGAGCCTGCTCTTTCTTGTTCTAATCAGTTAACAGTCTGGCAGGAAGAGTACTCAGACTCTTCTGTTCTGTAGCTGCCCAACCATGGGAAACCACCTATTTTCCTTTCTCTGAGGCATCACAGTTAGGTTTCTGGTATAGCTGATACACAGCTGACATGAAAGGAAATTGGATCTTTAGAAGGGCTAGATAGTGAATGATGTTCTTGTCCGACCAGCTGGTAATGCCCGGAAAAGTCACACCAAGTAGAAACGGTGACCACCATTATGAACATGCAAGGTGTTTAAACCTGTCTTTTCTGGGGTCCTAGTTAGGAAGCATGGTAATAAAGGAAAAGAATGAAAGGTTGTGGAGAAATGCTTCATGTATTAGGAATTAACTATTAAATATAGGGTGAACTGAGGTGTGAATAGAAGTGAGTCACTTTGGGAAGAACTGTCTTGAACCCATGGGACAAATCAGAACAGATTTTGAAGCTGACTGTGGTGGTGTATACCTGTAATCCCAACACCTGGGAGGTGGAGGCAGGAAGATCAGGAGTTCAAGGCCAGCCTGGACTGTATAAGACCTTGTCTCAAAAAAAATTAATAATTTTGGGGGGGGTCTTTTTGAGACAGGGTCTCCCTGTAGCCCTAGGTGTTCTAGAACTCACTATGTAGACCAGGCTGACCTTGAACTCATAGAGATCTGCCTGCCTCTGCCTCCTAAGTGCTGGGATTAAAGGCGCGTGCTACCATGCCCAGCTAAAATTTAATAATCTTTAAAAGAACAGATTTTGGTACAAGAGAAATCACCAGTCCCAAAGAAGCTGAAGAGTACTCTTACTGGTTGTAAGAGTACTCGCAGAGGCCCTCCAGCACTGTAGGTTATGACTGTCAGAGCTCTATTGCCTGAAATAGAGTTATAAAGAAATCTCCATAAGAATTCTGAGAATCAGTCTGAGTAGCCAAGATGGTTTGATTTTCTTGACAAAAATGAGCTAGCTAGATAGATAAAATGCCTTCACCTTCCTTATACTTCTGTTTATTTATTACACCTTCTATGCCCCAAATACTGGACTCACCCCATTATGTAATGTGGCCTCCTCCTGTTCCACTCAAGCTCCACCTCTGCTTATGCCAGAGTGCCATTGCCCAAGACTTTTGTGTTACATAAACAGTGGGTATGAACCAACACTTCAGCTCGCTGCTGGTGTGGAGTAAATAAAACCCCGCATTGCTGAGTTATTTGTGCAGAGACTCGGAGTGCCTTGAGAGTTCTGGTACCAGCGTAGTTCTGTTTGCATCACTGCCTTTTTGCTTCTTCAGAAAACAGATAATATTTTCCATTAGAGCAATGTGCTATGTTTGACACTAACACAATACAAGCTTGTTCTGCTATAGTCCTGGCAGGAAGATTCTTTAAATCAGTAGCAGATGAAAGGAACAAACAGAAGACCCACCCTGACGTTCTTCAGCTGAAACTGATGACAGTGAAAATTGACTTTAGGGGCTGCAGAATTGGCTCAATGGTTAAGAGCACTGTCTGCTCTTGTAGAGGACCTGGGTTTGGTTCCCAGCACCCACAGGTGGCTCATAACTATCCATAACTTCAGTTCTGGGGGATCTAGCTCTCTCTTCTGGCCTCTGTGGGCATTGTATACATGGGTACACTTACATACAAGAAAACCACTCATAGGCATAATTTTTAAGTTGACTTTATTTTCCAAATGCCCTTCTTAAGAAAATTTTCATTTAAAACTGTTTGACAAGCTAGAAAAACAGTAAAATATGTTTATTGTTACTAACAAATGTGGAATTTGATTTCATAAGAACTTGGCAAAGATTTCCTTAAGTAGAGATCCTGAAAGCTAGTTCAAAAATCAACAGGAAATCTTTTAGGCCATTGATATTAGATAATATGAAAAATGATACACATGCTGACTCTTGAAATTCATACTTGCAAAAGACTTAAGTTTTTATCTATGATTATGTGTGTGTGACTGTGTGTATATGTCACGTGTATTGGTGCCCTTAGAGGCCAGAAGAGGATGTTGTCAGAACTCCTGGATCTGAAGTTTCAAGCGGTTGTGAGCTGCTCACCATGAGGGCTGGGAACCAAACTCAGGTTCTCTGGAAGAGCCCTAAGTACTCTTAGCTGCTGAGCCATCTCTCCAGCCCCTATATTCATACTTTTAAATGTAGATCATGCATTAAATATCAGTGATTCTATTTGTTGTTACACAAAGCCTTCCCCCTGGTAAAATTTAATTCAGATTTTGGGAATAATCTACTATCTCTGGTGATTTATAAACCATATAAAAGACTTTTTGCTTCTATTCTTATTTTTTGAGACATAGTCTCAGTACAAAATCTAGGCTGGCCTGGAACTCTCTGTATAGTTCGGAGTAGCCTTGAAGCCATGATTCTCCTGTCTCAGCATCCCTAGTACTGGGATTCCAGGCATGTACCACCATGCCCAGCTTAAAAGGCTTTCTCTACTTCAGAAAAACATATTATATTTGGATTTTCCTGTTTTCCTTTAATAAAAAAAGCAGAAGGAATAGTAAGCTTGGGTTCTATAGCAAGACTGTCTGAAAAACAAAAAGTAGCTGGATTGCTTCAGATATTTGAAAAGAACTAGTGTTTTTATTTGACCAATTTAAATGCAAATTTGGATCACCTGACTATGTCATTCAGTCAAATAGATTTGTGCCTAGAGATCATACAACATTTTCATATAATTAACTTTGGGTTTTGTGTGTATGTGTGATACGATGGTACTTATGCCTTAGACAACTCCACTGGCTCTAGACTTGATAATATGTTGGTTGTCAGAGGAGACCCAGAACAATTATCCAGGGCACAAAAATGTGTTTAGCAGTTAAAACAATAGAGTTATGGGGTTTCCCCCCAAAGGCCATCTACAAAATGCTAATATATAACTTGCTGAAAGAAATATTTCATGTCATTTTCCTTCTCTCTGATGTTGCTTCCTCCCTGTTTCCTAAATGTGGTTCCAGCTTCTTTAGTATAAAATAACAATCAAAAAATCAAAAGAAACCACAAAAAAGAATCACCAAAGCTATATAAATAGCTAAATGTTAGGTTGAGTGTAAGGAACAACTCAAGGGAGTTAGCTCAAGTTTTTCTGTCAATTGTTTTATTTTATGCACAACTCTGTCTTCAGAAAAATCCTAACAACCAGATGTGGTAGCACATGCCTTTAATCCCAGCACTCAGGAGGCAGAGGCAGGTGAATCTCTGTGAGATCAAGGCCAGCCTGCTCTACATAGCTAGTTCCAGGCCAGCCAGGGATCTATAGTGAGACTCTGACTTTTAAAAAGCTTTGAACTGCAGGGCTGGAGAGATAGCACAGCAGTTAAGAACACTGTTCTTGCAGAAGACCTGGGTTTGAATCCCAGCACCTACATGGAAGCTAACAACTGTCCGGCATTGCATGAGGCATGCAACCTACATGCAGGCAATACACACATACACATAAAATAATAAATAAAATTTTTTTCAAAAAGCTTTGAATTAGACAGGACTATGAAAATTCAAAGCATCTTATTCCATACTATAAACAAATATAGCTGAAAGTTTATACTATTTCTTTTTAATGCACATAATTATTGAGACTAACCAGTACCTGTCATTTATTATTTCTTCTTTTAGCGGAAGTACAAAGTGAAATTGAAAGAATTTTTGAGTTAGCAAGATCTTTGCAGCTGGTTGTTCTTGATGCCGACACCATCAATCACCCAGCACAACTTATAAAGACTTCCTTAGCTCCAATCATCGTTCATGTAAAAGTCTCATCTCCAAAGGTAATCACCTCATTTCTGCCTATGGGACTTAGACACATTTCTTTTGATATATTCTTTGCTCTGTCTTTGTTTGTTTATGGGGGGAAATGTCTTAAGATTCTGTTAATAAGTATATTTTAAAAGTGTGCAAATTCTGGGAATTTTCAGTAGCAAAAAAGAATAATAAATCCCTTCAAGAAGCTGACTGGCCACTGTGATTCCCGGACCAGGTGTTCACATGTAGAATATGAAATTAAGGTGAGGAAAAGCAAAAGTAGACTCTGGGTTTTCACAGACTGTTATATTCCATCTTGGCAAACTTCCTCGCTAATATTGATCTTTGAATCATCTATATTCTCTGCCCAGTTGAAAGAGGAGTACATAATTCAAAAAGTATGTATCTGTATGTATCTTGTGTAAGATGAAACGTCACTGGGCAAACATCTCTTATGGAAATGTTGCAGACCTTGACATTTGTGTGTAGGCTGGGATCTTTGAGGAATATAAATTCCATGGTTAAGCACAGCTTGCCTGGTATCTTTATGCTATTGGGGAAATGAAGAATAGAGGTGAGGGAGCCCTGAAATTGCTCTCTTGATTTAGATGGTCTCTCATTTTTACATGTATTTATTTAAGGTCTATATGTAGATAAATGTGTATCTGCTGTAGCACACATCTCTCCTTCCATCAAGTGGTTCTGGGGATTGAACTTGGGTCATTAGGCTCAGTGGCAGTTACCTTTACCCATTGAGCCACCTTGCTGCCCCCACTTTCATTTTCTTTAAAAAAGTGATGGTAGTCTGAAAAGTAAATATGAAATAAATACCCAGGAGAGGCATTAACTTAACAGCCAGTTCTTTTTCAGTGCCTACTAGAATGTGCTTTATTGGCCTAAGTGCAAATCCAGCTCCCCACCAAAATGGTGGTCTCCTTCCATAATTGGAGGAAAGCTTAAAGAAGCTCTATGTTCTCCAGCCTTTCTCAGTCCTCAGCCTTGCCATCTCCACAGTCACTGCTCCTGTGCAGTGACTCTGGGAATCCTGACCACAGGCAGTTAATCTGAAGGGATTAGTAAAACATACTGACACTGCCTTGATCACTGGAGGTACCCTTGACCCTAGCTCTGGGGACTCAAGCCTCCTTTGCTGTGAGGAGGAGGTCAGCCCCACCCACTGCTCTATCACTGTGGTGTCCTGAAGTGCAGGAGCAGGGGCTTGCATGGCACCACGTGCTGAGGTGTTATGGAGTGGTATAGACTAGCACTGTTTGAGGGAAGAGGACCTTGTTTCAACCTGAAAAAATGGAAGCTGAGAGAGTATATGGCCAAATGCAGTTACAGCAATGACCAAAGGCATGCATATATAAATAATATATGTATTATATATATGTGTGTGTATATATGTCCCTGCCTCATGTGTAGCAGTGTACCAACACAAATGTTTTACCTAGATTTCCAATCCTGAAATAGTGTGATTAATAATAAAATTAAACCAAATGTCTCATTAAATATTGGAGACAAAAAGAATCACATACATAAATAACTTTAATATTTATCTAATGTAATGAACCAAAATATTACTGAACCAAATAATATCAAAATATTGACTCAAGGGGCTGGAAAGATGGTTTAACAGTTAAGAGCACTGGCTGCTCTTACAGAGGTCCTGTGGATTCAGTTCCTAGAACCCACGTGGCAGGTCACAATCAGTCTTAACTCCAGGTCCAGGAGATGCAGTTTTCTCTTCTGACCTCCATGGGAATTGCAAATAGAACATATGGTGTATACACATACATGTAGACAAAACACTCATACACATAATAATGAAAAATAAATAAAAACTAAAAATATTGATTCACTGTAGGTGATCAGTTCTTTGATAGGGCTCTCTGAAATCTGCAAGACACTTATGAATCTAAGTGGGAGCTCGGGATCCCACCAAGACCTCACAGGGAGCTAGGACAGGCTGACCAGGGCAAATCCAGTATAGGCATGTATGCATAGGAGGATGGTGTCACCACAGAGTTTATAAGTATATAATTTCTCATGTTGTAGTTCCTCCTTATAAATCCTCAGGGCTAAGCAGGTTGTGAAAAAAGATCCTGGTTTATTGGTTTTCTTTTAACTCACTGACAATACCTCAGGTTCATGTCATCTTCTATCAGGTTTTACAGCGGCTGATTAAATCTAGAGGAAAGTCCCAAAGCAAACACTTGAACGTTCAGCTGGTGGCAGCCGATAAACTAGCCCAATGCCCGCCTGTAAGTAAAATCAGTTTTTGTCTTAATCATTGTGGACTAGTTAGAAGAGGGAGGATGTATATTCATATATATGCATGTGGCTTTTATTCTAGAAAGATGGAGCAAGCCACTGCCATTGTGCTGGGTGTGCTCAGGCTTCCAGGATAGGATGGTGTCTGCTTTGTCATGAGGAATGAACTTAGAGTTTGAAACCTGCTCTCCTTTGCACTTCCTTGGTTACCTTGCAAACTCTCAGCCTTCATATCCTGCCATGTGGCTATTTTCAAGGAAAGAGAAAAATAAAACATGCCACTTTGACTTTCCTTTAAATTTTTTGCCAGAACATTCTGGCAGGCATGAAAGAGTGTGATGTTAAAGGTTAGAAATTGATTGACCTAAAGAACCTCTGTGGTTATAACAGAGGAAAGGGTCAGGGTTGAGGCATGGAAAACTGCATGACATCAACTTAGTGTCCAGTATCATTGCCAGAAAATGCCTTCAGGGTTGGAAGGCAAGCATGGGGGCAGGGGTGGGGGCGGAGGTGGGGGAGGTGACTGCTGTCATAGGCACTGGGGCAGTGGTGCTCAGTCATGTCTGTTCTTGCTCAATTGACTTACGATTTCTGTGCCTGTGTTTCTCTGCAAGAAATACTGTCTTCTTTGCTAGTTGATGCACTAGATTTTGCAACTAGATTTTACATTTATGCTCTGGGAAGCATATAACCTAATTCAAATTCTTGGAGAAGTGGCACAGTGTGGTTGTTCAAAGCACAGACACTGGAGCCAGATGGTTAGGTTCAAATTCACACAGACAAGATGTATAACCTTGGGCAGAGCACCTGCTGCACAGGATCATGGAAAGATTCGGGAAGTGTGTATGTGGTAAGGCTCTTAGCATGGTGCCTGGCACATGTGACACACTGCCGAGGACTTTCTGTTGTCATTTCTAGGTGCACTCTGCTATGCTGCGCTCTTCTGGTCAGTTAAATTCTGTGAGGATGTGCCTCTTCAGTTCACTGGTGTGTCTCATTTCCCTGTCATAGCGGGCCCACGGTATATATGTGTTGAAGGAGTGACTAATGAAAGGTCGTACAGGTAGAAATGGATGTCTCCTTTCATTAGATGTTTAACATGAAATACACAGTGTTCTAGATGCTTTGCACAGATTATCTGTAATCCTCACAGTGACCTAGTAAAATAAACAAGATACACCTCCTTTTAGAGTTGAGGCAACTGAAAAGACTTGTTCAATGAGTTCCTGAGGACACAGCAAATTCAGATTAGAAGTAGATCTAGGGAGCTAGAGAGTTGGCTCAGTGGTTAAGAGCTGCTCTTGCAGAGGACCTGAGTTCAATTCCCAGGACCCACATGATAGATAACAACTGTCTGTATGTAACTCCAGTTCCTGGAGAATCTGACACCCTCTTCGGACCCCCGTGGGCACTGCATGACACGGGTGTACTTACACACACACACAGAGGCAATACACTCATACAAATAAAATAAAAATAATAATAAAAAAGAAGTAGATCTAACTGACTTCACAGCCAGTTTCTTCTTCTCCTACTTTACCTACCCTCCACACACACATGTGCAATCATCTGCTTATTTGTCCTACAGATAATTTGGATAGCTTAGAGCTTAAAAGTCTAGGTTAAGAAGTTTAATGTCACATTACCTACTAAGGAAGTCCACTTACACAGTAGAATGTTTGATTAAAACATTGAGAGTCTATAAAAGAATGTGTTACCCAACCCCTGGCCCTGTAATGCTTCACAGTTAAAAGAAAATAATCTTTACTATCCAGGTAGTAAAAGGCAGGAACTATGCTATTATTTCTAATTTTAAGGATGATCTTAGAAGGATGGTCAGCTTGGTATTCTGGGAAGGAGTCATCCAAAATGGAAATGTAAGTGCAGGAGATTTATTGCAGAAAATGTCTTTTCTTTTTATGAGCATGAGTTTATTAACAATTTTTTCAAAATGATTACTAGAGAAAATTCTTATGTCCTATTAAAATTGAGATATTTTATCTGCTCAAAATATACTGGAGTTTTTTTTAGGGTCAAAGCCTGGTCTTTAGCAACACTTACAAGCAAGGTTCCATCACCCAACCTTAATCTGCCAATTAAAGAGATAAGTAATAAAAAGCAGAGAAAGAAAATTACCCCATGGGAATAATTCATCAGGAATAAGAACATGTAAAGAGATCTAGTGATACTCCAAGTCCATCTTAAGGGTACTGACATGAGGTATAGGTTTAAATAAAGAGCTAGAGGTATGCATAAATAAAAGGTCCTGGTGTGGTCCTGCCTATCATTGAACAATCATTGTATCCATCTAACCTGCAAGTGTCAGCTGTGTGAACTCTCTTCCTGAGAGACAAGTTTTTCCTCGGGCTCCAAGGTTAAAACCTTTCCCTTCCCCCAGTGCGAGATTCCCAGGAAGATTCCAGTTCCTTGGAGCCTGTGTTTCAGTAGTCTGACACCCAAAGAGAGGATCACAGGTGCCTTCTTTTGAATGTCTTTCCTCCTGCCAGGATGGTTACTCAGGGTCTGATCATTGAGCAGTGGAGCATCTGTACAGCTTCTTGCCTCTGAAATAGCTGGGACAGAAAGATGTGTCTGCTTACGTACAAGCAATACCATGGGGCTTGTTCTCAGTCAAGAATTTCAACCTGCCACATGTACTGGGACTACAGCCTCGCCCTATCATTATCAGCATGACAAATACATCTTTATTTCGTATAACTGGTCAGATAATCTGACATTTTAAACAAGCAGTTAGAACAAATAAGGTTACCTTGTACTTAACATTTTTCTAAACATTTGATATTGCATGAATAGCATTTATCATGCTGAGAAGGAATCATGCATTCTATTTTGGCCCACATGAAGAAATGTTCAGATTACAGAAGCTAGTAGAGATTTTAAAATGTGTCTGCATTTATCCTTTTACCTCAAGATCATAATTATAATTGTCACCCAGAGATTGATCACTGTGTCATTTTAGTTCCTTTAGGAGAATTTGCAGCCCCTGTGTCTCAAGTCTGCAAAGTCAGCAAATTTCACTGGCAAGGCCTCACACTGCGGTGATGTTATAAGCAGCGCTTTGGGCAAAGGGACATCTAGAAGGATACTGAAAAAAAATTAACTCTCTGTAGCTAGAAGAGTGAGTCCTCAATTCAGTGACTGTTGGAGCAAAGGGGAACCTGACAGTTTCCTAGAGTAGTTGGGTTCCATGTGAGGATACCAGGTGATAGGGGAAGAGAGCTGTCTGGTTTCTGTGCTCAGAACTCCATCTTTGCTAACATGCACTTTGTGTCTGTCTCCAGTAGGGTAGGTACATCTCGTGCTTTCTGGCAGTGCTACAAGTCTTTTTCCACAGAGAAACCTTTGAGTTTAGTGTTTCATGGAACACTTCAAGGGAAAGACGGATCTGGGCCAATCTCCTCATTTTACAAATGAGGGAACTGAGACCAAGAAGAGGTGAATTGGTTTTCCAAAGGTCAGATGCCTGGGCCAAAGATAGCATATCTTTGTGTCCTAATCCAGTGATACTTTAGACGGCAAATGGCAATAGGTTGGTTACTATATGTTCTCCAGAAGAGAGAATACTGGGCTCATGGCTAAGGTGCTAGAAGAGGGTCAGTAAACTTCATTAGTAAAGGGCCAGAGAGTCAATGCATTGGGTGTGATGAGTCAAGTGGTTTCATCTGCAAAACCTTTGAGGTTTGCTTTTGAGTAGCCACAATGTGCAGCAACTGTAGGAAAGGCTGTGCTCCACTCAGTCTCTGTGGAAGCAAGCAGCAGGCTCAATTCAGGCAGCTAGAAGAGGTTACCACCCATCTTCTAGGTCAATTTTTGGTTATCTATTACTGTAAAATGAATGACCCTAAACATGGTAACTTCAAACAGTGGTCACTAGGTAGTATTCAGCTGGTGGCTGACAGATCCCTCAGCAGGGGTGAGTAGAAGAAGGAACTCTGCCATCTCTTCTCCCTCTCTATTTAGTCTCAAGCCCTTTCCATGAGGTCTTTTCCTTGGGGATACAGGCTTCTCACATTGTAGTCATATGAACAGGCATTGTAGTCTATTAAGACCTAGTCTTAGATACCAGCCCAATATCTCCTCCACAGCATTCTGCTACCAAATCCAAGGAGAGGGAACATAACCCTCCATCTCAATACAGGGAGTACCAAGAAATGTGTGGCCATTGTTCAATCTGCTGTGGGCAGAAAAATTGAGTTTGGACAATAGGGTACTGGGATGCAGACAGAAAAGGGGCCTCTAGGACTGGAACCTATAGCCGGTCTCAGATTCTATTTCATGTGACCAGACTGTCTTTGTTCCGCCGGTATACATCTCTACACGCCATATTTTTAGATTTCATTTGGCCTCTTCCAGGTATTGGTACCCTTTTCCTTTTCAGAGAAGTTGAAAATAGTGGATTTTAAGAAGGCCAAGTTCAACTTGCCCCAGTAGTGTGGTAAGAATTGCATAATGCATGGTGAGAAAAGCAGATAGACAATTGAAGTATAAATGAAATGTAATCCTTTAATCCTACTTAGTTACAAGCTGGCTTGTGTTACCAAGGCTGACCCTGTGGCTCTGTGAGCTTCATAATGGCTTTTTGTGTGTGTAAAACGACATTGATCACTCTTTCTGAAAGAGGGGAGCTCATCTCCCCAGCAGGCTTGCAAACCTCTAATATTACAGAACCATAGCTCTTCTGTCCACCTTTATTTTCCAGTGCTGAAGGAACTCCGAGTCATTCTATTAAACTTAAGAGCTCTGAGGGGGAATTTTCCACCGCTCCACTTGAAGCAATAGCAATATTTAAATTATGAGCATCAGATGGATTCACTCATCTATTTGAAATGTCTGTTGGTGCTTCATTATTCTAGAAACTCTGGATGCCCATTTTTGGAAACCAGAGCAATCTATTCGCATGTATCCTTAATGAGACAAGGCCACACAGGATCCAGTTTCAGATTATCCCTTTTCAGAGATTTCAAGTGAC